ATGATAAAGCAGACAGGAAAATAAAACGTTTTCGTCTTTTCCAAGCAGTATTTTTATCGACCGATCTTGTTCTCATATTTGCAATGATAATCTACCGGATATCGGCAATCTTTAAACACGTGCCTACATACGATTACGCTGACGAGTTTTGTACCGCATTTACCGTGTACAATATGACAAGGTTTGGTCTTACGTTACCAAAAATTTTCAAGACTTCGCGAGGAGAACATTTTAGTACTATTTTGCCTATAAATTTTCGAGACCCTCCAATTCCTTTAACTCCCATTACTCCCGCTGAAATTATGAAACGTCTTAGTAGATATGAGTACCCTGATTCCGATGAATACAATAAGATAATATATTCTCAGTTGGAAAACGACACATTTGGACAAAAGATCGAGATTGTGAAAAATGAGATTTAATTAATTAATTATTTGTTTGAAAATTCATTAATATTTCTCACAAATTATATAATTTGTTTATTAACTTATATATATTAAACCCAAGAAAAAAAATGTAAATAGTATATGAATGATTTATTATTACCACTGTACTTTCTATGTAATTAACATTTTTTAAACGCATTTTATTTTGGATACGGTTTACAGAATTTTCTTATACATATGCGTATATATGACAAAAATAGCGATAGTACAATACTAAAAATTAGCATTGTAATTTAAAATACAGTTCGCGAAAAAATTTTACATATCGATATAAAAGCCGATCGTGACAAAGAAGTGCATCAATTTGACTCGTGATTAGCAAATGACAATGTCATTTTGTCATAGTGACATTGTCATTAAGATCATTCGTCATTTAAAATTACATAATACAAAGAGTAACAATAATGATGAAAAGAACAATAATAAGATAATGGAAGGCATAAAAGAAAATAGGTTTGTATTTTAAACAAATTACATTTATAAAAAAAATTAATATTTAGTTGAATTTTCTTTATTTCTAACTCACTCAATTGAGTAGCTTCAGGTATTCGACTTATTTTTTAAAAAAAGGTCTTGTCATTATTCAACAACAATCAACAATCCAATAATTGGAAAAATTGCATAATCTAATTCGGAAATCATCATCAAAGTCAATTCGTTGAACCTTTTGCACAATATCCCGTGAACCAATGAACCATATCGATATCTGCTAAAATTTTGAGATTGACTAGAATAGAACCTGAAAAAAACATTTTTTATGATTGACGTTTATCAGGTTAAATTCGACTTTGTGGTCAATTTTACGTTCAAAGTTCGCGAACAAATTTGGTTGATCTTTTGAAGCTTGTAATCATTTGTGTCCAAGCCGTCTTAAAATTAATTGCATTAATTAAAAATCGGCTTTTTATAGGTGTTTTTGTCAATTATTTCGGTAATCACATCACAGTACCCCCAAAAAGTATCGCCCGATTTTAAAATTATATAGTAAAATACATATAAAAAAATTTTTGTTGATTTTATAATTAAAACAGTTTCGTTTTAAAAGTTCCATAAGTCTTGTTCATTTTTTCAAAAATAAAATTAATTAGCTTTAAAATGATATATATAACTTGAAATTTTCAATTTTCATATATAAAGCGTGGGGAAAAATTTTTTTCACGTATAAAGCGTGAGAAAAAAATTTTTTTACTTTCAATCAAAACCGTACTTCCATTTTAAGTTGCCACAAGTCTTGTATTATTTTTTCAAAAATACAATCAATTAGCTTTAAAATGATATCAAATTTAGATATACACATAGCTTGAAAATTTCCATTTTTAATATGTTTTATTATAATTCTGGACCGGGCGTTACTTTTGGGGTACTTTACATGTAGTTTCTATTAAAAATTTTCAATAAAGACCAACCGCCATTACTTTCCGTCATAACTGTATATATCGATGCATCAAATTAGTAATGAACCTGATTTGTGATTAAAAATATATTTTGAAAGCTTAGCATTAGTACGTGCCGGTACTGGGAAAATCTAATAAAGCTTATCGTTATTAAATTTGATTCATTCGTTATATCAGAAATGATTTTTTATCGTTGATCAACATTAATACATGTAATAACGCGTCGCTGCTGATCAATATGTAAATTATCAATCAAAGCTATTGAATACAAAAGTGATTAACGGGAATTCCTACACTCTAGTGACCAAATTTAATGAGATATTTTCTGATTGGGGGATCTAACGTGCTACAACTGGCGTTTCATTACATTTATCGATATTGTTCAGATTTTATACGTAACGGCAATTGACAAATCTTGTTTAACGTTAATGCAAAAAATAGGTTCTACACAACGAACGTATCGGTATTACAAGGAGAATGTGTACCAAATGTATTAGGAATATAAAAATGTGTCTAGCCTTTATCTGCTTATTGGATGATGGCATATACACGTGTGAGCAGTTTTAGCGCACGTGGATAAACTTGAAATTGGTACGTACATGTATTAGTATTTAATAATAACGATAAACAATAAAAAATGCTCAACCGAATTTCTGAAAGAAATTATGTTTTTATAGTTCCTCTACTACATTTCCGAAAGCTTCCTATCTTAAACATCCCCGCCTTCGTCGTTATTGTCATCTTTAAATAATGATAGTATGTCGTCATCGAGAGATAATACTCAAGAATGGATTGGTTTAGTTTTAGTCACCGCGGCACTTTTGCTAACCTTGCATTCTTCATATCGCATGATAAAAAAACGAACAAGTGCATCAAAATTCTATCTATTTCCCATAATAAATGCTTTAATGATAATAACGGCAATTAATACACTTTTTAGAATATTTTCACTCGTCTATTTCTCGAGCTTACGATCCTTGATGATTACAAAGATGATTACAAAGACAATAAATGATTTTTTTTATTTAATTGGGAAGCCAATTATCCTGTATCTATCCTATTTGAGATGCAAGTCTGTATGGGAGTCATGGGCTAAATATCCTTGGCTTCATTATATATTTTTTGGATTGCGTATTGCACAGATTTTCTCTGGTATGAAAACAAATACCTGTATGTGTTTAAGTTTTCTCACTAAACTAACACCGTTATTTTAAATGACCGATATAGTCTTCGTAGCAGATATAATTTACATCGATAAATGTAATTATAACATGGATAACCCAAATTGCAGTAACCTACGAATAATCAAAATAATACGAGACGGATATGCTCCCGCGCCAAGAATTTATTACATGATATCCGAGTCAATTTTCTTTGGAATGCTATTCTCAAGTTTGGATAAACTAGGAACAGATGATAAAGCAGACAGGAAAATAAAACGTTTTCGTCTTTTCCAAGCAGTATTTTTATCGACCGATCTTGTTCTCATACTTGCAATGATAATTTACCGGATATCGGCAACCTTTAAACACGTGCCCACATACGATTATGCTGACGAGTTTTGTACAGCATTTACTGTGTACAATATGACAAGGTTTGGTCTTACGTTACCAAAACTTTTCAAGAATTCGCAAGGAGAACATTTTAGTACTTCCACGACCATTTCACCTTTAACTTCTCGAGGTTCCCCTATTCCTTTAACTCCTATTACTCCCGCTGAAGTTATGAGACGTCTTAAGGGATATGATTATCCCGATTCCGATGAATACAATAAAATGATAGATTTTCAGTTTGAAAACGGCGCATACTTCGACAAAGATCGAGATTTGAAAAATGAGATTTAATTAATTAATCTATTTGTTTAAAATTAAAATTCATGTCCAAAATCCATAGAGTATATTAATTTATGTATATTTAAACCCAAGAAAAAAATGTAAATAGTAATTAATAAACTTTTATTATTGCCACTGTTTTTAAGATGTAAATTTAAATATGAATTTCCGTGCTGTATTTGGGAAAAAATGTATTACGGTAGCAATTTATAGATGTAATTTTCTAATAATTAACAATGCGGATTCAATTTCTAAATTCTAAACTCTTTCTATTTCATCGAAATTATTCTTATTTTTAAGGTAAATACATGTACATGTATCAAAAGAAACAGCGATAGGTTTAATTGATCAATAAATATCGATATGTCTACTTATGAATTTTTAAAAAATAATTATTTCAAAAAAAAAACTATTCGCTTTAATTATTCTGCATACTATAATTGATTTTTAATAATAACATATAAGTTTCAAATGTATTTCAGACATGTTTGAACAAGCAGCACATTCGACAACGATAGGCGTAACTTTTATTAAACACATGTATTAAGTTACGTTATATAATAACCAGTCATAAGCTTACAAATTGTTTATATGAAGATTTGTCGTATCTTCACATAATCACACCCTCAGGATCAGAAAAAGTGTAGGTGTGACTATACAAGATGTGACTGTATATTAATTTTCTGATTACCCCTCGGGACCATAGTAATAAACAGGCAGTGTGCACTTAGAAAGAGTGTGCATTTATAGTGAACAAAATATATATGTGTCTTTATAACTTTGAACCATACCGTGCATGCATTTATAGAGGGTGCACTTAGAGAGGTTTTACTGTATATGGGAGGTGATTATATGAAGGTCTGACTGTATTTTATTTGAATAAAAAGGAAGATTGTATTATATCTCAAAGCATCTCTTTGTCTTAAGACTTGTCTGAAAACACTTTATTAAGATAAGACTCTTCCAAAAATCTCTTCATACAATGGAGTTTTTCATTGTGCTATCATACCGACAATTTTCTATGGTAAACAATTTAATGACAATAGCAACAGCGTCAATAATTTTACTATTAAAAAGAATTTGGTCGACGAAAATCGGTACAATCTATTTTTAATGAAAATATTCATGGAATAACGAGGAAAAGTACGATTAAATGGAAAAATATTGAATTTTTTTAAGTTTAAAAAAATAATTCAAAATAAGAAAAAACCCAAACCGCGATTTATGTTGTAGATATGGTAGGGATGTTAAATGGTCAAACTGGTTGAGTTTTAGATTCCGAACTGGCTACCAGAGCTGAAATTTTAAACGTGATCAATTTTTATGCGACTTATCGTTATTACTTTTCATTTAAACTAATATTTTTATTAACGTTAAATATTAAAAAGATATAAATAGCTATCGCTATAGGCAAACTGCAGTGAATTTCACTGATTGGTATACCGATAATTAAAATTTTTGGCTAACAATACTAGTTTGACATTTTTCTTATACAAAAATCCCTTAACGTTAACGTTAAATGGATTTTGCTTATGCTCATAAAAATTCTTTATTTGAGTGACAAACTAGTTCGAGGCGTTCATTTGAAGCATATCGATATTAATTTAGCGTTAGGGACCAGTTCCTGATTTATGAAGCTGGTAAACTATTGATTCTAAACCAAACTCTATTTCGGATTTAACTGGTTATAATTTAACTATTTAACATACGTATTAATATATTGTTAATTTTTCATACAACGAAGATATGCTTTTTCTTTTTAACACAAAATAATAATTCACATACCGATACACACAAATGGAGGTTAAATCCTAAGTAGTAAGTGTAACGGTCATTTTTATGTGAACTTAATTTACTTAACATTAACGCAGAAATCGACATCCACACATATTGTACAATTTCTTACAGTATTTTTGAAGTGCTATTTTAGCAAATTTATAATATTTAGAAAATAAATACTTTAAAATCACATGAGTTTATATTTGAAAATGTGCTGCGACTAGGTGGGACGAACCAATAGATGACACCGGGTAAGGAGAAAAATATTCACTATAGCTTATAACGAGAGAATATTATATAAATTCACTATATTGAGAGTTCACTATAATGCGAGCGAGTGTGAATATTTAAATCTACTGCTACCCTATAAAAATAGTGCGTTTTTCACAATTTCAAAGATCAATTCGAAGAAAAATCTTACTCTTCAATTAATTGAAAAGGATGCCTTTTCTGTTGCTAAAGACGACACTAATCCGAACATTATTCGTTATACAATTCGGATGCAGATTATGGAATTCGAAATTTCACGGTGACCGGTGCGAATAATCGAAGAAATTGGTGATCCCAAAAATCCAACCGTGGCTTTTATTCATGGTTTCCTGACTTTCAAGAACGAATTCCTCTACAAAGATCTCCATCTCGTTCGGTACGATAGTTGTGGTACACTTGATAGTGGCAAACCTACAGATCCCAGTCAATACACTATGTATTACAATGCGCAAGATCTAAATGCTGTCGTTGATGCGGTTGTTAATAAAAGTCCCGGGGAAAAAGGTAACTTTTGCCGGGAGCGGCTATAGCAACATTGTATCTAGGCAATTTTGGACAAGATAAAGTTAATGGGTTTGTCACTTTGTCTAGTAGGTCAAACAATTACTCCTGTTGCTGCACTTCTCGACCAAGTAGCGAGTAAAGATTAACAAGAATCGATAGAGGCAAGATATATTCTTCCAAAAGGACTTCTACCGATGAGTGAAGAAACAGCACTACTCTTCCTTGTTGGAATAGTTCTTATTCCGACTGCCTACGTAAATGCAACTTGGACGAACTGTAATTAAGTTTGTTTTTCTTCGTTATTTGGTTTTTTTCTTTGAACATATATAATAAATTATTTTTATTATTATTTTAATATTTGTGTCAATGAATTATTATAATATTATAAAACCTTCACTATTCCAATGCTGATATTAGACCGCGATTCAGATGGATTCGTGTACACACTTGCCGAAGACTGTATTCTTGCAGCGGCAAGATATGGCAAAAGAATCACGCATGCTGAATCTGGTCATCTTATTTTCTGGGAGGAGCCGGCAGACTTGCTAAGAATTTGTAGTGTTTGTTAACAAGAAAAAATAGTGTCACATGTTATCGATATTAAATGGTCTATGTATCTATTCATTCTATTATTAATTAAAAATTAATCCTTATTTATCATTGTCATGAATTTACTTCAAATTGATTTTGATTGTTCTATGGTGCAGGAAGTCTAAACTCAACAAAAAAATAATATATTTTTAAAATCTTTCAACTTTCTAAAAAGTAATATTTTTAAAAACTGACTGGTTATATTATTCTTTAGATAAGTTCTATCAAGTTACTGATCAGATTTTTAAAATAAGTTCCGCATAAAAAGTTATACGCATTTAAAGTTAGATGTTTTTTATATGCTTAATCTAAAATTGAAATATGTCATATGATTTTTTATCCCGTGATCTGATTTGATTGGTTGGTATTTCTTATAATTCGGGCCTGCAATATAATAATGCTAAATTATCATAATGCCAGCCTGAATTAGGTGACGTGAAATATGATTTCTTAAATTTTAGTTTTGTAAGAGAAAATGCATATTGTAAGAAATAAATAATATAAAAGAGGAAAAAAGAATCACTTATTATTCAAGAAGTCTTTTAGCTAGTCATTTGCTTTTTGGATTTTATTAGATTAGTTTATTATAATCAAAATCATTTTTTTAATTAAAATAAAAATAATCATTGCTTTATTTAATAAATAAAAAATATATTAATAAAATTATTACATGTCCAAAAGTTCCTAATTTATATATACTTGAATTGTTATAATCTACAAAAAAAACTACAAGAACTAATAATTATAAAGAGCTTTAATACGTATTTGTTATCTTTTATTAGTAAAACTAGCAATCAAGAAAAGTGATTTAGTATTACTGAAATAAAAAGATATATTAAAATTATTGCAATAAAAATTCTAAAACTTTCAAATACTCTTGTTTGAAATCAAATTAACTAAATTTTCTATAATAATATATATTATAAAAAAATATATAATCTGCAGCAAAAGAAATGAAAATATATTAAAGAAATTTATCTGATTATACAAGTTTTCAGAGTATTATTAACAATTAATTTAAGAAAATCTTCAACTTTCAATTAGTATTTCTATAAACTGAACTGAACTGAACTTTTATTTGAGTTCAAGTCTGGTTCAAAATTCAAACCAAACTCAAAGTTTGAATTAAACTCAAATTGAATTATTGTACAAGTTTGAGTTTGGTTCAAGTTTAATTGAGATCTATATATAATATTATATATCAATTTGTAACTCTAAACTTAAATTATAAGTAAAAATTATAGTATTTAGTTAGAATTTAAAGTTTACTTAGTAATTACTAAAGTATTTTTATTTTTATAATTATCAAATTTTATTGTAAATTCTGTATATCTCTTCGAATATTTTTTATTTTTATAAATTATCTATATTAATTTGTAACTCTTATTTCTAATTATAACTTTTTATTAAAAAATAAATATTTAGTATAACATTATTAAAATAAATTAAAATTATAATAATTAAAAATATATTTTTAAATCTATATAATTTTTGAATATTCATTTTCAATATTAATAATCTTATATTAATTTGTAATTCTTATTATAATTTGCAAGTATATTTAAAACTTTTTAATATTTACTTGAACTAGAGATAATGTAGCAAATACATGATACTTATTTGTTATCTGTTACAACATATTGCAACTTCAAAATTTTATAAGTCACAATTAGTTACAACTAGGTAATGCTTTATTTGTTACAATATTGTAACAATTGCTAAATCATTTTTAACTTGAACTTTTAATCAGATTTGAGTCTGGTTCAAGCTTGAACTGAATTAGACATTTTTTAAAATTTTACTTTTAATATATTAAATTTGATATTAAGTTCAAAACATAAATTTTTTGATTATAAATTTATTATATTAATTATTTTAATTATAAATTATATAAAAAAATAACAAATAAGCAAATTATTTAGAAAAAAAATTGTTTTATTTCTTAAAAAAAGTTATTAAAAAAAACTAATGTACAAAAACTAGTTATTAGAAAAGTTACAAAAGAGATTGTTGAAGTTATTGAAAAATAGATAAAGAAAAACTTAAAAAAATTTGAAAAGATAGGAAAAAAATTTATTAATAAAGTTTTTGTTTAACAAAATAAAGTTTTAATTAGAATAATATATACTAGAACTTTAAGAATTACAAAGATTTGAAGACAAAATAAAAAATTAAGAATATGTAAAAAAAATACTTAATATATTTTTTGAAAATACTAAATTATTAACTAATATTTTTATTATAACTATCTCTAAAGATTATACAAAATTTATTTGTTGATATAATAATATTCTTATTATAATTATTACAAAAACTTCTTTATTGATACTATTATTTTAATTCTTTAATAATATTTATATATTAAAAGATCTTTATACAGATTTCTTCTTATAATTATAAGAAAAATTATAAAACAAATTAAGTTTATTATTAAGAATTATATGATAAAAAGTATCTATTATAAAATTCAAGCAATATTAAATTAATATTTTAGTAAATTAAGTTAAAAAATCAGTTATAATAATAATTTTTATATAAAAAATTCATGTATTTAAGAAGAATAATTGTTTAGAGTTTGTAAAAATACTTTCTTATATAAATAAGATTAAGATAAATTTATTAATTATTATAAATAAATTATATTAATTAAGATAATTTTCAGTTTTAATTTTAATAAAACTTATTTTTAATTTATTAAATAATGAAAAGATCTAAAAAGTTACAGTACAGAATAGAGATATTTAAATACATAATTAATATTTAATAAATTACAAATAAATTAATAATAAAATAGAAAGTAATTGGTTCTAAATTATTAAACTTAAAAATAATGCATCTCCAATTTATACTGTACTAAATTAGATATATATAAAATATAAATAATAATAAAAAGTAATATTACAGTAGTAATATAAAAATCACAAATTCAAAAATAATCAAAAAACATAATGTTACAATTATGTTATAAAATTTGTTAATTCCATAATCTGTAATATTTCATGAAATTATGAAAATCATGTAAAGAACTTAGA